AGAGAGAGAGAGAGAGAGAGAGAGAGAGAGAGCACACATGCTTTGTGTTTTCACAGAGCAAAAAGATCAAAGTGAGGAAGGAGAGGGGAGGGGGGTGGGAGTGGAGAGAGACGTACTGAAATTTTAAAAAAGGAGGGAGGGGATGATGGAGTGAGTACACAACTCTTTCCTTCTTCACAGAGATCAGAATTAAGAAGGGAGAGATAAAGGGGAGAAACAGAGGGAGAGAAGTACTCAGAGGAAGAAAAGGAGGAAGGGGGGATCGTAATAGTAGTACATGTAGTAGTGTATTGTAGATAATAAATTGACCCATGTTGTGGTGGGGCTGAGTGGGCTGTCAACTGTTCCTTTTTCAAGGAGATTCTGGGAAGGAAGGGACTGATAGTGAAGGAAGAAGTAATGTATAAAAAATAGTGGTTGTACCTGTGTTGTGTGTGGTGCAGTATGAAGTGTGTCATATGCGTGATGTGTGTTTGTTGTGGTGTATGGTTGGTTGGAGGGTACCACCGGTTTGTTCCTCTTCTTTGCTTTCCTTATTTTGTTTGATTGGTTGTTTGTTGTAGATGGTTGGAGGGGGCCACTGGTAGTTCTTACTTCTTTATTTTCCCTCTTATGTTTCTGGTTGTCTTACTTTTTCAAAGCTCTAGATTTATACTAAAAGATGATTATTGGGTATATGCTTCTTTTTACTCAAACAAGCTGTTTGTTTGCTTATCTGCCTTGCTTCTATCTTACCATTTTCCCAGCTCTATCATATCTATTATCTATTTGTGGTGGCCGAATTTTGCTTTTCAAAAGGCTTTTTAATGGCTGCATCGATCGACATGTTTCCAGATCATGACACCCTTCGTTTTTTCAGTTTTGAGACAGTTTTACTGCAAATAGCTAAATTTCTTTATTTCGCCGATCGCTTTTGTAGGCCGACACTTATGTCACTGTAATTTTAGAAAATCCGCCAGGTTTGTTTATTTCAAGCCGTTTGATACTCTCGCGCATTGTCGCGCAATACTGAGCACTGTTTTAAGTGTTCGACACGTATAGATCTAGCCTCATGTTTTCTTTTTTTACTTGGTGCTAAATTCGACTGTGATCCTTTCGTTTGATGCCCATCAACATCAACACGCTTCTGTAGAACCACGAAAGTGGAATAGAGAATCAATTTATGCATCTATTATATATTTGGCAACTTGGAAACGCATGTGTCACTTTTATCTCAAGATTTATTGCTCCATTCCAGCTAGTGTAAATATAGTAGACAAATGATATTCAGTTGATTTTAATGCTCCAATCATTCCTTTCATTGAAAGGGGGCCAAGCTAGTACTTATCTATACTCAAAGTGAACTTGAAGTGGTGTCTGTAATATAGACTGGCATGTGTCATGTATATGTGTGGGATGTCACTAGCATGAGTTTGTGCTACATTCTTTCTTCCCTTCTATTGTTTCTGTTCATCTGTCATTCCTTTTCCTCTCACAAAATGAACATTGTTGTATCACAGTAAAGCTCTGTACTATACGTAAGCTTGTAGTGGTGTCTCTAATGTATTATTATTATTATTATTATATTATATTTGCAATTTGAGAGTACCACTGATGGTCCTACTTCTTTTCTTCCCCTCTTTCGTTTTTGCCTGTCTGGTGAGCTTTTTCCATACACTAACTGATTAGTGGATAAATTTCCCTTTACTTAAACAATCAAGCAAGGATCTACCTTTTTCCCCCCCATTGTTTATCGTTTCATGGGTGGTTGTCGGGTGCTCTGGTGTGGTTTGCCCATCTTTCTTATCCTACATCTAACATCCTTATCCCTCCTCCTTTTTTTGTTCGTGTTACTCTATTGTATCACCTCTATTCTTTGGCACTGATATGTCCTAATTGTGTTGCAAGCACCATACTCTTACTATGATTAAATGTGGATGTGCTTCTCTTTGTTCAAACAAACTGATGAGTATTGTACGTTGTCATCTTAAGGTGGAGGACCAGATGAAGCTGCTCCATCACAGCTGGAGTGAGATCCTCATACTGGACTTCATCTACCGGCAAATCCACAATGTCTGGTCCAGGGAGATCATTACTGTAAGTTATACCTTCTCGTTGGGGAAAAAAAGAAAGGAGTAGGCATATTTTATGGACACTCGTGGAAAATGTTGAAGTCTGTCGCTGACCCCGATTTTTTTCCCCCTGATTTTTAGATTTCATAGAGTGGCAGGTCTGTTGAGTGAATAGAAGGTGGTTGATTGGATGGAAAGTGGTTGAGTGTCTTGGGGAAGCTGGTTGAGTGTCTTGGGGAAGGTGAATAGGGGTTTGGAGTGGGGTCAGAGGGCATTGATGATTTTGGAATGTGGGAGCGGGGCGCACTGTTTTTTTTAATCAGCTTTACATTGTACTCTCGTAAAATTGACATTATTTATCAAAAATGGCCAAATGGTATCAAGAGAATGGAAATGGTACCCACTTAAGCAAGCTGAGGCAAATTCTTTGAAAAGATTACAGGGATTATAATGATAATTATAAGGATTGGAGCATAGCACAGTGAAACTTACAGTTAATACTTTACTTCATCGAGTGTCTTGTATGCCTGGTGTAGACATTGATGGTCTTCATTCTCCATCCTTCTCTTTCATTGGAGGCCCACATGAATAAGTTGTTTATGTTTTGTTAAACCCAGGTTTTCAGGCTATGTATAAATCTTGTGCTTGGTATCCTTGGCTTTTTCTTCTCTTTGATTTTACTTGTCACACTGAACCTATGAAGAGATTGCCATAATTGTACTGTACCTCAGTTTCTAGTGGTCCAAGTTATGAGAAGTTATTTTGTAAGCTATATAGTACCCATTCACATGTGTGTGGCATTGTGGTGCGCATCAAAATGATGAAAACAATTGCCTGTGAGGTAATTTTTATCATATATTTTGGTGGGGGGGGGGGGGGGGGGGGGGGACTTATCGCCTTTATGATTATTATTTCTGAAGGGATTTTACTGAAAAATGTTGGTCAAAAACTTTTTAAAAAATGAAAATTTGCAGTTTGCATTTTGCATGGGCACCAGCTTTGGATGTGACGAAACTTTAGCAACGATTTTCTTGTGGATTTTACCTCTAAGATCAGGTGAACCCCACCTCCTTCAGTCACGAATATTCTGACTTTTATTCATGATAATGGGTATTTAAAAAAATTCAAAAGTAAGGAAAATGAACTGGCCTTTAACACTTTTCCCCCAGGGGACACCGATCGGCGATGGTAAGAAGCCGTACCTTTTACCATTGGGATCGGCGACGGTGTGATATAGTGTGTACCCCATCTTTATTCTGGTCCATGGGGATAAGTGTTGCGCGCTGTGCGTGCTACGTGGGTGGATAGTGTTAAGATACAACAATAACTCTATGTGCCCATTATGAGTACACTTTCACACAGCAGGTAATCATTGCATTTTTGTAACGGCATCTGTGGTTTAGTGGTCTGGTGCTCTGCTGTAGCACACACAAAAACTTTAGTTCAAATCCCATGTGTGGAGAATGTTTTAACTTCTTGCTCTTTTGTCAGTATGGATGTTAAAAAGGACCCTCGATCCATCTAATTTTCATTGGATGTAGGTATGAAACCTTTCTATTATTACAGTCTGTCTATCTGTCTATAGATAGTTGATGGGTGTTCTGGTGTGGCTTGACACCTTTCCTATCAAACATCTGTCATCCTGATCTCTCCTCCTTCTGTTTTGTGTTTGTTTTTGTTGCTGGCTTGTTACACCTCCAGTATGTATTTATACGACCTTATTATGTGGCAAATGCTGAAAAACTCTTACTCAATCTAAAATACTGCCCCCACAGCCTAGTGGCCCCAACATCAGCTTTGAGGTCCTGGACAAACTTGGGCTAGGTGATGTCAAGGCGCGACTCTTTGAGCTTATCAAGAAAGGTCGGGAGCTGAAGATGGACTTCAACGAATACATGTGCCTTAAATTTATCATCTTGCTCAATCCAGGTAGGTAGCCATGTTTTATAAACACTCTTTTTTACCTGTCGCCATTTTTAACTCTTTTTTTAGAGCAGCTTTAACCCATTGCTCCCGAGCTACGAGTATATTCCTAGCTGCTGCGCGCTTCGTAGCAAAATACCAGTCCACAAAATCAAGTCCGAACTTATCCAGGTTTCTATTGAAAATAACAGGTCGTTTGTAGCTTGTAAAAACTTTTGCTAGCTTGTTTTGATCCAGTTTCCCGCCAAGTACGAGTCAGTTTTGTTGTTTTGTCACCAAAAATCACGGCAAGAAAGCGAACTCTGATATCTTCATGGATGAGAAGGAAAAAACCCCCCAAAAACAGCCACAAAAACCAACAACAGTGCCACAGCTATTTTTGTGTTTGTTAAAATACATGAACCATGTTTTTTAGTTTTGTTTTAGGCATAAACGGCAAAGAAAGGGAAAATAGACGTAAATCTAGAAGAACAAGGTGATCAGATTGATTTTAGGCCTTGAAAACTTTGAAGAAATTCTAGATCTAGACCATAGATTTACTATAAGTTGCTTTGGGTAAATCGAGTGCCGATGAGCCGCAGTCGGGCGAAGAATGTATTGTTTTCTCGCTCTTTCCTTCATCTTTCTCTCTTATAATATATGAAGAAACACATTTAAAGTAAATTTTAGGAGAAATTTCGTATTGATACCTTTAAGGTGAAATAATTTGGCCTCAATGCATGTCTTAGGTTAGTGTGTCGAGTTCAGACTGATTTTTTTTCCCCCTGTCTCGTGGCATGCCAGGTGGACACAAGTGCACTGCTGGGGCAACACAGGGTGAATTGGGTTAAGTTCACTCTTGGCTCTGTTGGAACACTTTTTGTCCTTATGAAATGTACTTGCCCTATTTTTCCTCAGTTCTTTTATCCGCAACTTGGTAATTGGTAGAGTCAGAAAGACAATGGTATGCACTAAAAATGATATACTTTTAACCTTTCTTCTTTTAAATAGTAAAAGTCAAAATACAACATAAAACTTCTGGTTCATAACATTAAGCTGAAGGGTATGTATAATATGAACAGTTTCATGACTAAAGGCGACAAATGCCATTTTTAAAGTTTGGCTAAAGCTAGTACTGTCTTAACTTGAAAGGTGAGGCACATTCCAGAGCCAACTTCTCTTTTCACAAAACATGGTTTTTCCTCTTTAAAATCTACGGGACAGCAGACAAGAATACTCGTGAAACCGGACTTTCAACAGGACTGGTGGATTTGAAAACTCGGGAACTAGATTTGAACAAAGGCTTGTCGATGTTTTCCCCATCATACTGTTTTCGTTATCCCATTGATTACATTCCTCTTCGATCTTTTGCGTCCGATTTCTGGCAAGTAAGTGTAGAAAGCAATAAAATGAGTTAAAAAAGGGTATTTAACTGAACCTGAGGTGTTTGGCAAAATTTATACCTTGATTATTTAGATTGAGAGTCTTCAAATCGAGGAAAGTTTTATGAAAGATAGATCTGGAACTAGTTTCATTGATTGAAGAGCAATTTACAATGTAAAGAGATCTAGTTTGAGTCTTTTATCCTCATCAGGAACTGACTCTGGAAAAAAGCTTGCTACTACATAATGAAACCGACACATTTTTCAATGAAAATGTGTTTTATCATTGGGAAACATATTTTCAACTGTTTGGTGTGGTTTCATGTCTATAACTTATCTAGAGGCTTTATTAGAGTAACACATATCTCGCATAAGTAGCTAGTGGTCCTGGGGAACTGAAAGTCAAGTGTGGGACAGGTCTCATACGTGTTAAAGTACTGCAGAAAGTGACGCTTTCTTTTTTTTTTTCAAAATGCGTCAAAATTCAGTAGACCTTTTTTTTGTTGAAAAATCATGACATACCCTCTGCACACCTGTCAAGTTCTGTTCTGGAGTTATGGTCATTATTTTGAGGGATAAGAATCCAATATAGATTTCAGCGTACATCAAATATCAACTAAGCCTTACGTCAAAGTTAACTCTAAAATCGAAACTGCTCAGGATATTTAGTAAATGAGTGAAGAACAGAAATCTTTTTTTTTCTCAAAATCGAAAAAGTGGCTATCTTGTGTTTTGTCTGGAAACTTCATATAGGCCTACTCAGCAGCTGCTTTATGGACTTAAGTAAAGTGTTATATCGATGTGTTCTCTTTACTGAAGCAAATGTGTTCAAACATTTTCCATGGGTGGCTGTTGGGTGCGCAAGTGAGGTTTACTCCTTCTCTCCTATCAAACGTATATTATCCTTATCTTTTCTCCCCCTTTTTCTTGTATCTTACTCTCTACTAACACCTCTGATCTTTGGCGCTTATATAATCTAATTGTGTTGCCAGTGCCGTAAAACTCTTCTTTCTTAAACTTAAAAAAGCCGGTGATTATGGGTTCTCTGGTGTGGTCTGCTTCTTAAAAAAAAAAATCAAAAGTATCGTCCTTATCTCTCCTTCTTTTTAGTGCTTGTTACTCTCTTGCAACACCACTGATCTTCGGCACTTCTATGACCTGATTGACGGAAGGTTAGAGGACACCACCTTCTTTACTTTCCCTCTGTTGGGTTTGTCTTTCTGTCCCAGCACTAAAGGACCATTATAATTTTTGTTTAGGTGTTTTTGTTTTTTGTTGTTTTTTTAAAGCTGAAAACAAACAATGACAAACAATGACATGATTGTTTAAGTGCCATAAAATTTGAACTATAAAAAAAACAAATTTTATTCTTTGTCCTCCAGATGTGTCCAACTTGGACAACCGTGGCTTCATTGAGCAGAGCCAGGAGAAGGTGAACTTGGCACTGTACGAGTACTGCCTCATGTGCTACCCGGAGCTGGTGGACAAGTTCAGTCAGCTGCTCATGCGGCTGCCGGAGATCAGGCTCATCTCTATACGCACTGAGGACTTCCTCTACTTTAAGCATCTCAGCAACGAGGTGCCCGACCAGACCCTGCTCACTGAGATGCTGCACGCTAAGAGGAAGTGACCGCCCGCCCGCCCTACCACCCCACCGCCACCCTCCCTCGACTTCTGCCTGTCGAGCACCCCCTCCCCCCTCGCCCCCGCCCTATCTTGACCACTTCATGGCCTCGTGACCTCATAAACTTTTGTGGTCTAATTTTTTTACCTCATGACCTCTTTTAAGCCACATGACCTCCTGACCTCTCATTGACCTCTAGACCGTACTCTTCAGTACTCTGCTGTGTGATCCTCTAGAAAATGGAAAGTCACAGGGACATGTGAGTGAGGAGATGCTCATAATTTTTCTGTGATTGGGTATCTTCTTTAACTCATGATTCCATGTGTTGGTTTCTGTTGCTGCCAGGGGCTATGGTGTGGCTGATAACAATTGCAGGGGTTGAAGTCGGGGGAAAAATATATTTTGAACATTTAGGAAACTCCCTTATCTCAAATTCATCTGCAAATGTTAGCTTCCTCACGGGAGGTGAAAGATACCAATTTTATTTCATATTGATATCATTATGAAGATTCTGTTGAGTAAATATGTTTTAAAGCTTTGAAAAGTTGAATGATCTGAAGGCCAAGACAGCCAGTATCTGTGAAGTAGTTATGTCCTGTCCCTCCTTGTAAACTCATTGGGAAGATATTTTTCAGTCTTTGTGTTAGGATGACATATCTCGTACTACCAAAATTGACCCAGAGAGTCAGGGTAGAAGGAACCAGCCTCTTGTGTTATCCAAATTAAGATGACAGTAGTGTCGGACATCTGCAATAAGGTTCAGACATAAAGGGAAACATTTTTCTTTTAAAAAATCAGCAGGTGCTTCCAGGAATGTTACTCAAGTAACTGTACTATCTACTTGCTTTATATATCTGGTTGCTGTGCTGGCAGATAGTGGTGATGTTCCTGTTTTGAAAGCAAGGGCATTGCTTGGAGGAATGTTACCAAAGTACAAGGTATCCATAACTGTATAAAGACGGTAATAACAAAAAGTTGTATAAAAAATAACCCTGCTGAAGTACAGATGTTAGTAAAGATCCTTATCCTTTTTTCTTAAAAAAAAGAGAATAAGGTAGAATGTAATGAAGAGTCAAGTGTTTACTTGTTTGACTCGTAGACCAGAATGAGGGATGAGGTAACTGTGGTTTATCTAACCACACGACAGTGGCAGAGTGTCCTGCAGAAATTGGTCAGGGGGCCTTGTGGCAATGGAGGGGGTCAGAGTTTGTCACTGACATGTGACCAGCGCCTTGCGGTGAGGGAGAGGCCACACAGTGGTCAATGAGTGGACTTTGGGCCCTCTCTGACACCAGCAGTGTTGATGATCTACCTTGGATGGGTGTCTGTTTGTGTGTATGTGTGTGTGTGTGTGTGTATGTGTGTGTATATGAGTGTGAGTGTGTGAGAAATGGACCTGTTTCAAAAGAGGACAAATGCTCTCTCTTTCTCTTAAATATGCTGAGAGAGACACACACATGTCATACACACACACACACACACACACGCACTCACACAGGCACCCACATCTACAACTGTTCTGTGCTGTTCTGACTAATGATGTGACCACCATCGTTGGCAACGCTTACGGGTTCTTTGTTCTTTATGTAGTGTGTATTTGTCGTTTCAATGCACAAACTGTGTATACACGCATACTTCGTCTTTTTTTGCCAATGTTATAGCTGCACCTCACTTTTTTGTGGCCATATGTGGTCATTTTTATGCCGACTCGCCGTAGAAGACAACTTGATGAACCTCACTCTTTGTTTATACCATCTACCACTAAATGGACTTTTCCGACGATGGAGCCTTGATAAGTGACAGGGACAGGTTGACAGACAAGGACCACCCACTGATTCAAGTGCATTCGCCTTTGACCACGTCCATGATAATGGCGCTGACCTGGATTTGGTTTCGATCAACTAGTGTTTAGAGAACTCTTCACGGGCTCAAGGCCATGAGGTTCTGTCTGTGATACGTGTACTGTATCGCAGGGTGAAGGTTTTGGCTGGGGGCCCTCGATGTGCGTGATGTTGCTGCTGAGTATAGCTTTGTAATCAAGGCAATTTGCTGGATGAAGGTATTTTATTAAAAATATAGAGAGGCTTCTGTCCTGAATAAGAGGATGTGTATAATGAAATGGGAGTCCAAACTGGAATTTAGTGTGAAAGAAGCAGAATATTAAGTGAAGGAGAGGAATTTTTTTTTTTTTCTGAAATGTAGATTTGCTACGTTTGATGAAGTTAAACATTTGTTGTAAGGAGATTGTAACCCAGTCCAGGGTGACAATGGAACTGAGTTTGTCATTTTTGGGGTGAAATGTTTATATAATGTTGGTTTTTGATTGGCTCTGCCATCAGGCATTGAGATAAATGGTTGAGGGTAAGAGGTTCACTTCTTTTAGAAGTTTTGCAACATCTTGGTTCTACTGGCTGTTTTTTTTTTTACGGAGTGCAGTTTTGTTTGTGAGAGTGTGTATTCTCGTTGTGTGTGAGAAGTGAAAGGTTGGGCAGAGGGAGAATGGTCAAATATTCTTTTTAAGAAATAATCTGTGTCCCTGGGTTGAGGGCCTCTTAACCCTATCCGTACGTCGTGTTTTACTACCGTGTCCATACAAGGTGGGAAACTCTGTGCCACCACTTTCAAAGAGGAAATTTTCTCATTAATCCGATCCGTGCAATCTGTACGCTTTGCATAGCAGTCTGCCAAATAGATTTTTTGAGATATACTGAAAGTTTCAAAGAGATGTTGGTACTAGAAGTATTCTAAAATGTGAAGAATACAACCCTGGGGGTACAAAATGACTCCAGGGAGTATGGATAGGGTTAAGAAAATGTATAGTCTTTAGAATTGCCTGGTTAGGCTTTCATGGTGCCAGAGAAAAACTTTGAAGGGATTCTGTGCAAAATGAGAAATATCCAAAGTCTGGTCTGTTTTCTCTGATTTGTGTGCTTGATTTTGAGGTGAGGACGTTTATGTGTATTTTCAGGTGTGGAATGGGTGCACATGTGGAATGGTGTGTGTGTTTGTGTGTGTGGGTGCATGCATGCATGTGTGCACATGTGTGTGTGCGCAAGTAAGTATACATTTGTGAGAGTGATAGCCGCCACCAACAGAAGGAAGTGTTTCAATGATTCAGAATGTTTGAGCGTTTTATGTGTGCACGTGTGTGTGTGTGTGTTTGCGTGTGTGTTTGTGTGTGTTAGCCAGTATGTTGTTAAGAAGGCCATGCAGACGAGTCGGGTCTGTTCCATGTGTCATTTATTCCAGAGCTCATGTTGTTGTGTACAGAGAGAGCTGTCCTGGTTTGTGCGGCCATGATGTTTGTCTCAGGCGCACACATCTTATGCACACATACACACACACACACACACACACACACACACACACACACACACACACACACACCAGGAGTGCCAGCAGACAGACTCTGACACGAGCTGTAAATAGAGAAGTGTACAGAGGCCCTGCCATGGGCTTGCCTCATGTGTCAGGAACAGATTTTTATCTTTCACTTGTACATAGCCCATGTTTACATGACCTTTCAACTCAATCACTGTCCACAATCAGTGCTGTAATGGTCACTTGTGACCAGTCGTTGTTCTCTTTAATTTGTTTTACTCTTATTACTGTGTTTACCATTGGCCATTTGTCACACTATAGCTGTGAGGGGAGGAGGGATGCAGGTTCACACCACCTGAGATGTTGCTTTTTTTTTTTTTTTAATTTCTTTGTTGCAAATGTTGGGTCTTTTTTAAAAATAGTCTTATTTTGTGATGATTTGCATGATATGTCTACTAAATATGTAGTATGTTCTGTAGTTCTGTGTTGGACGAATGGGTTCGAGGTGATGGCACGTTGGCTCTATGTCTGTGTCATGCTGGCTTCCTCACTTACTGGAGTTGTTTGAGGGCACTGCTGTTTGGTCCGTTCTTTATGGGGTTTTCATTGTTTTCCCGAGTGGTTGGGTGGGTGGCCGGAGGGCACCACAGATTGGTCCTACTTCTTTACTTTCCCTCTGTTTTCTGTCTGTCTGCCTTACTTTTTCCCTGCACTAAATGACCATTATTGTGTCGATGCGCTTTTCTATACTCCAATGAGTGGCTGGTCTATGTTGCTCGTTGGTTCTGCTTCATAACTGTTCCTTTTTTATTCATTTTTTGTCTGTCTTGCTTTTATCTAACCAGTGACTATGGAGTAATAGTTAGATTCCTCATCATTGCCCGTAAAAGAAGTGAATTCTATTTACCTGTCGCAGATATTGATTATGTTTCTGCTTCATGTTGACTTCTAAATTGTTACAGTTGACAAGAACTACTATTGAATGAATTGGTGGCAGTGGTGTAATGATTCGGGTGTTTGCTTAACAAACAGGACATTAGTCCAATACCCACAAGGGGAAAAATGATTTTGTTGAGTATCTCCATCTTTCTGCTAAAATGTGTCCAACGCAGCTTGGTGTAGCTAAAAATGTCTCAAATTGTGAGGCATCTTGGTGAAATTAGGCACTTATCAGAATAATGAAATCGAAGAAACCAGCATTAATTGTCTGAGCTTTGAGCTTTTTTTTTTCAAATTTTCTATTTTTAGCTTTAATGTACATTTAATGTACATTTAAATTTTACAGAAAAATGTTGATCAAAGGCTTAAAACTTGGGAGTATGCAGTTTTCAAGGACACTCAAGCTTTGGAAGTGGTCACTTAGGTGGTCACTTTCTCGCTAGTTTTACCGCTGACATCAGGTACCCCCATCACCTTCAATCCCAAATATCTCGACTTCTATTCAAGATACATAGGTATTTCTTCAACAAAAGCTAGTCAAATAAACACGATTTAAGGTGATACCAATAACTTCATATACCCAAAAATTGACAAGCGCCTGATTCCACCACGTAGTGACACAGTTGCTTCTTTTTCATTATTATAATGAAAAAGAAGCTACTGTGTCACTATGTATTGTGAAATGTAGTTTTTGTCAAACCATAAGTTACGGGCACAACAACTGACCCCAGCTCATTGTTTTTGCTTTGTTGTTCTTTGAATTTTTTCTCTACTCATGCACTACATGACCAAAACTGAGTTGATTGTGCTACTCAAACACTCTCTACTCCCCAGTTCTCACTTCCACCTCTTAGTTACCCTCACTCGGTCTTTTGTGCCTGTATATCAGATGTGTGTCCAGTTGACCCAAAAAATAGCCTTCTAAGTATGCGCTGTGAGAAACCAGCTTGTGGGTGGTTGGCGGGTGCGGTAGTGTTGTTTGCTTCTTCTTTCCTATCAAACATCTATCATCCTTATCTTTCCTTCTTCTTTCTTATATTTGTTGCTCTCTTGTAACACTTCTAATTTTCTGGCGCTCATATGGCCTTTTGCAGTTGCGAGCGCTGTGAAGCCTCTACTAAAACTAAAAAAGAAACCAGTTTTCCGAATGACCGTTTGATTTCTGGTATGATGTCAAATGTACTAATCTGACCAAGAGTCGCTGTAGGCTGCCCGACACAGACATAAAGACCTGTTCGTGTTCACCTCTTTCCTGCGCTGTTATGCCGCTGCCATTTATGATTTCATCTCATTTTCTTGTTTGACTTTATCTCCGTGGTTTTCATTTGTTACATTTTATTGTTGTTTTTTCAATATATATAGATGATTTGTTGTTGAAACAGCTCTGCCTCACAATGGATATATGTAAAGCAGCCATGGGTAAACCTTTGGGCTATGTTGTGGAGTGATGTCATTAGACGCTTGATAGGGGAAGGTGGAGAGGAAGGGAGTACCGTGCCCTCCCCACTTTGATTGACGATGTCCCATGATAGCCATGATAGCATATGATGCCTTGTTCATTGTTTCTTTTTTTTTTTCTTTTTTTTTTTTAGATGTTTTTTTGTGATATTACTGAAAGCTTGGACATTTCAGGGCCATTTAATTTTATTTTGGATCTGTTTTGGGGTCTCAATATCTGTTTTTTTCTTTCTCTTTGCATCAGTCTGTTTCTCTCATTCTCTTCTCTCTCTCTCTCTCTCTCTCTCTCT